TTCTAATCTATTCTGTAGAAAATCTGCGTCCAATCAAATGCTTACACAATGTTACTATTACTATACTTGTGACATAGACAAATATACAAACAGTAATGATATACAAAAATGTTTTAAATGTTTGTGTTTGTGATAAATTTGTCAAGGTATAGTGATTAGTATAGGTTTTGATAATGATTACAAAATGTAAGCACTGCGGCCTGACTTAATGCTAACAATTTTTTTCAAGGATCTTAATTTTTCTATTTCCCATCTTCACAACATTCGAACCTGCGATATTTTTCATAATTTGATAAACATTTCTACGGTATACTAGCACATATAATACATATGTAAATATACATATATTTTCACATAGTCATAGAATATTTGATCTATTATAACTCTATTACAATAAATGGTCCAATATTTCTAATTATTATATGATACAGTCAACTAGATAAATTGTCTTGCTTAGATATTATATATTGCTGATACGTTATATTATATGTATTATGAAATACTGTATTTCTCACTTACATCATTAAATTTAATCATATAATAATATACCTTAATTAACTACTGGTTTTAAATTCTCTCAAAAATTGGCACATAATGATTATAATATTTATAAAATAGAAATACTAAAGTTAACACATTGGCGTCAAAGTTTTTTAAATTAATGCGACAGTGTTAATGATAGACAGACAAATAAAAGAGTAAATTATAAATACTAATAATTATATGGAATAGACATATTACATAATAATTCAACATTTGGTTGTTTACCAAAAGAAAAATAATCGCAATGAAGAATAGTTACAGAAATAATAACGATATTAAAAGACATCTATCATAAGTAGTAACTACATTGTTTTGTAGTGTTCATGGACTTATATGTATTATATATTACTATCTCTAATGCAACCTCCACATAATGGAAACAAGGAAAAAATAACTTCTGTGTGTAAACTATTATATTTTTTACACATTATAGTTTATACGCATTAATATGATAATTGAGATATGAAATAAGTAAATCACATTGATATTTTTAAGATTTCAATGAACCTAGATGTCTGATCTTCGATAAAATCTACGATTTCATTAAATGTTTGATGTTTCGCAAGAATTTCGACACATCACAAATAAAACCGCTATGTGTAAAATACGTAGCAACCTACGTACGTCGTAAAACTTTTTATTTCGCGTCTTCAACTATCGAAAATCCAAGGCCAATTAATGTTAAAACTCATCAAAGACAGCATGCAGGGCCTTTAATGTCAAAGTTGAATTAAGATGGCGTATCTGCTGTAGTTACAAAATTAAATTCAGCTACAAGCGACCGACATTTACAACGGTCGATTCTTCGCTTTTTTTGTTAGCTTTACTCATATAGGAGAGCGCGGTGGTTAAACACAATCTGCTTCTAATACAAATTTAATCGTATTTATACAAATAGCAATTTGTTTGGAAGTTATTGGAGTACGGTACTTGGTGGCGCTACGTTTGGTATGAGTTGAATAATAATATAAACCTCAGTATGAATAATTTCCTTTGTTGGAGGTAAATTAGTTAATTTCGTGTAAAAAATCTTGAAATCTAGGACACCTCCCTTACCTCCCTAGATGAATATGAAATGTATGAAATATCTCGAATTGTAATATCCGATCTTAGAGTTTGTGTCTTCATAATTGAATTTTGGTACTTATTAAAACTATTTAAATGACTGTTTGTGAAAGAGGGAGAATGGAGGGTGTAAAAGTGACTGAAATTGGTTAGACGTAATTTAATGTAGAGATGTGCTAACTTGTAATAAACATAACTCGAGTTGAGATTCAGGTAACTCGAGTTAACTCGAGTTGACTCGAGTACCTGGTATAAACAGTTTTTTTTTAAGTTTTCGAACAAATCTAATGATTTTGGCCGCAGCTAGCCTTGAAAGCTTCACCGAACCATAGGGGGCGAGTAGAAATGGCACTTCAAAGCCGCGGAAGGACTGCATAATAACTTTAATGATAACAATGATAACGACCTCAAATCAATATTGAAATATTTGTGACGAGTGAAAATTGTATGATATGAAATGATCGGAAAATTTCATGTCATTGTCGATTTGATGACAGAATCATGCTCTCGCTCTTTCACTTGATTCGTTCATTTACCAGTTGAATACTTCCAACTCGAGTTGGCAGAATTCAACTGGTATTAACTCGAATCCTCCGCAACTCGAGTTGACACATCTCTAATTTATTGGTGGCCCCTTATGGGAATGAACAAAATTGAATTTATATACCAAAGTGTAGTGTCGTCACTACGTTTTACGATAGTTGGCATAGCCCGTATGAGAATTGAAATTTGAATGTATCGACGGAAGAAAACGGAATTGTTGTAACTTTAATCCCTTCATTAATAATTGAAGCGCTCTTATAGGTGGAGCTCTTGCCGTTGCCAGAATCTTCCATCATCTCTTTAGTTATTGATACGACACCACTTTAACATTCTCCTTAATCTGTTTGATATAGATGAAAATCTCAAGTTTAAAAAAATCCTTTTATTTAAAAAAATCATATCACATATATTTAAACTTGTTTAAACACATACCAATTTGAATTTTTCAAACAGTTTTCTGGCTATGGTATAAAGTTAGGTTTTCAAGTTACGCCAATTCCGATTTTCTCGATACGTAAAATTCATATAAAAACAATTGATTGCAAATATATCATACTAAAAGAGCAATAGTATTATAATACTTAAAAAATCCTAGCACTGTAAATTGAACTTATACATATAGTAGCAAATAATTTAACCCAATACTACAGTACTCATTAGTACCGTAGTAATTACATAGTAGTTTAATATATACTCAAGTAGTTAAATAAGTAACATAAGACGATCAATGATTAATTACAACAATAATACATAAGATTTGATTGTATTCAAAGTAATCCATTAATTTATTAATACATAACAAAAGCGGCCGGTCATAAAAAACTGAAGCCAAAAACATTGTATCGTAATATGAATTTGAGTGAATGAGCATAAAAGTTTCTTAGGAAACAATAACATTCAGAATATAATGTATTGAATACAATAGGTAGCATTAATAAGTATACTCGGTTGATTGATTGTCTATAATTAACATTATCATGTATAAAAAATTACAACACAAACATTCTCGAACACATTTCTCAATGAATATTAGTAAATATGCAAATTACAGTTGATTATATATTATACAAACATTATAGTAAGTGACTTTGATATATGCAATAAACATTATGTTTTACAAGAGTTGACAACAACTTTTAAGAATGAATTTAAAAAAATGATCCCGGAGATCCATATAAAAGTTGTTTTGGTTATTGCATCGGTGGTCCAGAGGATTTTTAATTCTTTTGATATTCAGGGACTTTTGTTTAAAATAAAAGCACATGCTAGTCCCTTGTCTAGATGTTTAGCTGACCGGTTTTTGTTCCGTCGGTTCAGTTGGTTCGATTCCTCGCACGGTGCAAACATTTGCATTAATAAGTATGATTGTTTGTATTGGTCTGGGTATTTTCTATATATATTATGTATGTATTTAAAAAAAAATGTATTATAGTTGTCTAGTAGCCATAACACAAGCTCAGTTTAGCTTAAGACTCGATGGAGCAGTATGAGTTGTTCAAGGTAATTAGGATTACTACATGCGGTCAACACATTTAAAATTAATACATGCGAACATATGCGTGCAAATATGCAATGGTAAAAAATGTACTATATAGTTCGTAAAAATTGATTTGGTACTGACGCAAGTCATTAAAACTAATAATAAATTTGTACTAACATAAACTAAACATGTCATGACCAAATCGTATAATAATATATCATCAACAAGTGATCGACTGTTTCATGAAATGTTTGAATTTCATTACAGTGTATTTGAATATTTGATGACTTGACCAAATCAATCAGTAGTACCCGTTTAAGTACAAATAAACAACACACGGCTGTTTTACAATAACAGTTAGATATCATCGCAATATTGTTTCATTATTGATTGCTAGCGGCGTTAATAGTATGGTATTTACTTGAATATTAACATGATGTAAACAGTGATAATTATAATAATAATAACCCTAGACACTTTACAAAAATCCTACTTACAAAAAATGTATCTATTGTCTAGTACCAATAACACCCGCTCTGTTTAGCTTGTCACTAGATGGTGCTATGTAAATGATACTAAGATATCATTATACTAACGCAATCTAAATATATATAACTCAAAGGTGACTGACATAATGATCTATCAAAGCACAGCCCAAACCACTGGACGGATCGGGCTGAAATTTGGCATGCATGTAGATGTTATGACGTAGGTATCCGCTAGAAAGGATTTTGATTAATTCTACCCCCAAGGGGATAAAATAGGGGATGAAAGTTTGTATGAAACTTTGTCAATTTTAAACCGATCGGGCTGAGATTTTGCATGCATAAAGCTACTATGACGTAGGCATTCCCTAAGAAAGGTTTTGATAAATTCCATCACTACGGGGATAATTTAACGCGAGCGAATCCGCGGGCAAAAGCAAGTTTAAATATAATTATTTAGATTGCGTAAGTAAAACTTCCAGATATTCCTAAATCCTAATGGAAGAGGAAACGCCACTACACATCCTATGTGGTTGTAGCTCACTCATACATAAACGAAATATCTCCTTTGAGAAGTACACACTCTATCCTGAGAAGATAAAAACCATCGCTCCTAAGAATTCACACAGTCCCCCTGACAGACCTAGGCAGCGAACTCTAAAAAAGGGCGAGCACAATAGATCTATGCAGGTCGCAGTGCTACCAGGTCTCTTTAGCACCGCCTAATAGCCTGGAAGATCTTATACAAAATGTTGACAATATTTTACAAATAAGCATATTTCCTAAAATTCATTGATTTGAATACGGTCACTTTAATATTAACACAACACAGTGATCGACTGTTCACATGGTCTCTAGACGAACACTGGCCCATCATTTTCCACTCACAGAACGTGTAAGTTCTCACAGTTTTTGAATTTTGAATCTTCCTTGCCGAAGATCCAGGTAAGCATCTGTCGAGCCTTCATACTAGCTCGGACCACCCCGCGGGACTTGTACCAGTGGGCTGGTGAAGACTCGCGCCCCCCCTCCGCGGAGTACTGTTGCTGTTTTAGCCTGATCTGATTCAATATTCCGACCAGTAGTTCATCTACGTTGTGGTTGATTCCCACAGACACTTCGATGAATTTCGCCTTGTATGTGCACGCCAGGCATTTTCCATCTGTTGAAAAAATTACTTAATTAGTAAAGACCTAAGACAGGTTTTTCATTGATTACAGTCTATTTCATCTTCATTTTTGATGAGAGAATAGCATACTGTTTGCTCAAATAATTTGACGACCTCGGTGGTCTAGCGGTCTAGCACACTGCTTTACGACCGATGGTCGCGGGTTCGATTCCTCGCACGGTACAAACAATTTGTATTTACGAGTATGATTGTTTGTATCGGTCTGGGTGTTTTCTGTGTATAATATGTATGTATTTACAAAAAAAGATATCTATGTATAATGTAACAGTTATCTAGTACCCACAACACAAGCTTTAACTAGCTTAACTTGGGTCTAGATGGCGCTGTATGAATTGTCCTGAGATTATTATTATTATTATTAAATAAACTTAATATACCTATAATTAGTTCTTTCGGGTTGTCCCGTCATTGGAACGTCATGTATATTCAGTCAAGACGAACAGAGAAGTAACTTAGCTATTAGTCATTTCACATATATGTTGTTGTTTAAGATTTTTATATACTGTAACGTAATGTAACGAAAATGACGTCACAAATTCACTTTTATGATTTAATAGTTTGTCTATCTAAATATATATAACTCGAAGGTGACTGACGTAGTGATCTATCAACGCACAGCCCAAACCACTGGACGGATCGGGCTGAAATTTGGTATGCAAGTAGATGTTATGACGTAGGCATCCTAGCGGATGAAAGAAAGGATTTTGATTAATTCTACCCCCAAGGGGATAAAATAGGGGATGAAAGTTTGTTTGAAACTTTGTCAATTTTAAACCGATCGGGCTGAGATTTTGCTTGCATAAAGCTCCTATGACGTAGGCTAAGAAAGGATTTTCATAAATTCCATCCCTAAAGAGATAAATTAACGCGAGCGTAGCCGCGAGCAAAAGCTAGTTAAATCATAAAAGTGCATTTGTGACGTCATTTTCGTTACACTTATCGAGTGATTTTCCACCTCAAAAAAGGTAAAAAGGCACTGGAAGAACATGTTTTTCACAAACATCAATTAATAAAAGAAATACCCGTATGTATGCCATAATATCTTGTAGTACTTATATTGAACACAAACATGTTTCATTACAAAACATAATAGCAATTTATAAAAAATAATTCTTCTGAAAGTAACGTACATAATATCTTATATTGAACACAAAAAATGTTTCATTAAATTAATTTCCCTTTCAATGCACGTGGGTATATAACCTAATGGCGTAACCAGTGATGTCGCGGCTTCCTTCCGCCGGGAAATCTTTCCGTTTCCGGTTAATACCGGATAATGAACGGAATCGATCTCCCAAGCAATCTCTCCGTGTAATTGAATAAACTTGGACGATTTTTAAAAGTGTCCACAGCGACTATGTAAACATTTATCAATTTCCTTGGAACGGTCGCGTAGCCAATTAAGGACAAAGTTTTGGATTATTATATTTTTTTTCATTAAATTGTAAAATCGATTTATTTTAAGGGATTGTAATGGAATGGTGCTTGCCCTAACGGTATATGCTGGCGGGGCACCAGTGTAGGATGAAAACCAGGACCAAATTCACCAGGAATTTAACGTGATCTTTACCAACAAGAACGGCGTGGAGGTCTAACTGATTTGTTATGCTATGCTATATATTGGTAGTAATGGGGTTATTAATCCACATTACCAACCATCCCCCTCCCCCCAGGAAATTTAATTATTAATCTGTATTAATGTAACTATGGACTATTTAGTTAGAAAAGAGATCGAGTTACTTTGGTACTTGACAATTCTCGGCTCAAATTACATTCAAAATTGCTTTTGGGGACCAGTCTGTTAGGGCCATTGATTAAATTATTTTCTTTGGACAAAATATAATAGCATATGCTGGTGGTCACTACATTCTCTCTAATTGAATTCCCCCTGGAAACCATCATACATTCCTGGCGAAAAGCCACGATAGTTTAACTGACTAATCTCGTGCTCAACTTATTATCCTCCGCTGGTACGGAAGCGGAGCCAAAATACCATTATCATCTTTTACTAAAATAAAAAGTACCAGGAAGCGAGGTTTTGGCCACTTATCTGTTTAATTATTATATGATTTTCATTCAGTTATTGTTTAATATGTTTGAAATAAAATATTTTAGTCATACCTTGTGTTGATACAGCCCTGCTTCTTGCCAGGTCGATTTTGTTGGCCACCAACAACGCCGGTCTCGCTCGCAGCATGTCGCAGTCAAGTAACCTGGCCAGTTCCTGCTCAGCCTTTTGGAACGAAGCCTTGTCCACTACAGAGTAGATGACGACAAAGGCATCTGGTGGCTCTGACCTTTCAATTTCCTCCTGACAAGATAGATAAATAGATATGATTTTTTATTTAGCACACCGCCTTACTTTCGATGGTCGCAGGTTCGATTCCTTGCACGGTACAAACATTTGTGTTTATGAGTATGATTATATCGGTTTGGGTATTTTCTATGCATAATATGTATATATTTACGAAAAAAAGCTATGTATTTGTATGATTTGTCTAGTACCCTTAACACAAGCTTTAGCTAGCTTAACTTGGGTCTAGATGGCGCTGTGTGAATTATAGGGTTAATTACAAAGAGAATACAATTTTTTTAAAGTAATGCAATAGAATATGGGGAAACCTACATGTGTGTGCTATAGCAATACAAAATGCTCAGTGTGGAGAATCACACAAGGAGCATAACACAAATTTTCAGCATAATAATTGGACATAGATGAAGATCAGAGACAGATAGATCGATAGATAATTGATTTACTGCCAACATAAGACAAATAATAGATACAATTTACAATAAAACTCAATATAGGAACTAAAATAGAAAGAACAACAACGAAACGAAACTAACATAGAAAGCAATAGGAGCTGCCTCAGCTGTTGCAGATTTAAGTACAACCTCAATGAGGTGCATCTATACAGCGCTGGATTTCTGGCAGCCCCTATTACTAATTTAAAAAACTAAGATGCGGGTAATTTCAGAGTTTCATAGTAAGCGTGATTGATGTAAAACACTGATTTTCAGCTGTCCTCATAATAATTGGTCATAGCTGAAAAGCAGTGTTTCATAGTAAGCATGATTGATTAGGTGGACCTCGGCGACAAAGGGTCAAATTAACCTTTCCGTGGCATTTTGCGACATTATTGATTACGGGATCTAAAAGTGCTTTCACATTTAAAAATAATGTCATCAAGTTGAGGCGAGAGTTCGCTTCGCTTTATGTTCTATCTAATATACAACGGTTTTAGAAGAGCTTCCTCCCGTGTACATTTAGTTTGTGGAATTAATTACCTGCCGAGGTTTACTCAAGAGACTACAGCATGGGCTTTTTCAATAAGGGTATATTAAGATTTCTTAAGGGTCGGCAATGCGCACGTAACACCCCTGGTGTCTCTGGCGTCCAAAGGCTACAGTAACTATTTACCATCAGATGGGACGTATGCTTGTTTGCCACTGAAGTAGTATAAAAAAAATGTCATCAAGTATACGAAGCTGCCCGGTCACTTATTCAGTTTTAACTAAATCCTGCATCATCCCTTGCGTAAATTCAAGTAAAAAGAATTTAGGATATTAAAATTTATTCAAATATGTTCAGTAATTTTGGATTAAAAAGTTTTTTAAAAGATTTACCCTCCTATTCATACTCGTTGGTTATAGAGTGACCAAAGATAAGAGAATATGCGTGACTAAGTAAAAATGCAAAATAAGCATTAACATTACTAAGTTAGATAGATATGTTTTCACGTCTAGGATTTTATGAGATAGGTAGAGAGGATACAGATACAGATGGCTCTATCTATATAAATGTATCCTTACATCATGCCCCATTCAATTTTATTTATTTTATTAGTAAACGTAATAATAAATAAATAAATAAATAATTTTATATATAAAATTCTCGTGTCAAAATGTTACTTACCATCATTCTCCAAAATGGCTTGACCGATTTTTATTAAATTTTATATGCATATTCAGTAGATCTGCATACATCTATTTTTCATACTTCTAAAATATTTCTTTTTGATTATTATGATTTGGTATTAAACAATACACACAACCCTAAATTTCTCCTTTCTATCACCAACCTCTTTTTAACCGAGTATTGTACATAAATTTATATGGCAAAACAACATTTGAGGGGACAGTTACTGAGTATATAATATAAGTAAAACGGTACCTTTGTTGTGGTGCAGTTAACGAAGTATAATTCTGACTCTTCACCGTTCAGCATGATGGACACCTTTTGTTCCGAACTGTCGATGTCTGCAATAAACGGAAAAGTGTTATAAAATACATCTAACATAAAAATATTACTAATAATAACATTAATATGTATAATAACAGTGTTTGTAACAAAACTTCAAAATTATTTTTTTTAGTATATTCTGTAGTTATTAGAAAACTATTTTTCATACCCTTAAATGACCAGGGTCAACCTGAGAATTTTTATATAGTGATATCAAATTATATGGCAAAACGTTTGCCAATGGAAGAATGTTGGAAATGGATGGTAAGTGGTACCCGTGGCCTATATATACATAAGCATAATAATAATAATCTCAGGACAATTCACACAGCGCCATCTAGACCCAAATTAAGCTAGCTAAAGCTTGTGTTATGGCTACTATATAACTGATATATACACATAGATATATATTTTTTGTAAATACATACATATTATACATAGAAAAGACCCAGACCGATACAAACAATCATACTCATGAATACAAATGTCTGTGCCGTGTGAGGAATCGAACCCGCGACCATCGGTCGTAAAGCGGTGTGCTAGACCGCTAGACCACCGAGGTCGTCAATAAGTATATATGAACAGCATCAGGGATATCACATTATCATGTGATACCCGTGATACTACTATAGGTGAGACTGAGGAGCCACGCGTACTACCTGTATTGTTGTTTCTTAATGACAACAACTTATTATATGTATAAAATATTGTGTTAATTATTAATTTAGAATACAAAGTAATTAACATGAAGTATGAGATGCGCGGGAAATGAAGAAAGTTGGGCACAGAGTAATGTTGATGTCACTGGCACAGAGTAGCTACGGAGAATCATAGTTGTGTTGTGTATCTATGACACTACCTATTACAGTCTACTTCGGGGAAATGTATAGTTAATGTTGGTTTTTTGACGCGGTCATTATTTATACATACGATTAGGAAAATCACGGGATCTTACCACGTTTTATTGCACCTATTACTCACTAAACGATTACTTGAATGACGAGCATTGCAATAGTTGTTCATAGACGTGATTTTCATTTAATGTTACACATAGAAACCTATATAAGTAAATATTGTAAATTAAAAAAATAAGAAATTTTATTGAGTTTCATGCCAGTTCTTCTCAATTGAATTTCTATACTGAACTGGAAGGTAGGAAATATTTATAATATGAAAAATTGACGTTCATAAGTTGCTAAAATGTCCTACAATGAATAAATGATTTTTGAATTTAGATTTTATCCTGGCAGTTGAAACTCTGCCGAAATATTGAAAATTCATAAAAAAAAAATAAAACGTGGTAAGATATTGTGACTTTTTCTAATTGTATGTGATAATGGTATATGGGCATCTAATTTGTTTTCTATTACAAGTACATAAGATTTAATTTACAAAGTAATGTTACTTTGGTATTCGCACGTGTCTTTTCGGGTGGGGCCGGTTGAATTAAATTGTAAAGTAGAGCAGATATAATTTAAAACATGATGTCTACTTCATACATACATAATGTATACGACTTTTCACAGTATTAAGGCGGATATTTCAGTGTCGGTTCCATTTGACACCTACATTATTTATATACCTAATTTCAAATTTCCTCCACTGAGTCTGGAAAAGAGTAATTCAGTTTACATTCGTAGTAGGGAAGAGGTCCGCTGAAATGTTTAAATTTTGCAAAAGGTTATTTGGCAGCAAATGTAGGTACATAGAATTTTTTAAATTTTATTTATGAAATTGCTTTACTATCTTTACCTGCTAACATTATATACTATATGTACTATGTATGTGTGTTATTTATTCTTTTGCACATAAAATTGTATACATGCCGTACTTAATGCTTGATGGCATTCTCTACCAGTTAACCGTCGCGTTGATAATAAGGTGGTACATATTAATAAAGAATATAAAAAAACAAAAATAGATAAATACAGAAAAAAAATATACATACATAGTAATATTATCTTTCCTAATGTTATCTGGAACTAGTTTGTGAGTATGGACGGATTTGTTACACTTTCACGCAAAACTACTGAACCGATTTCGATGAAACTTTACACTTTATACATCAGAATAACATATAGGCTATAAATTTCACGCAAGTGAAACCGCGGGCACAGCTAGTATTTAATATTTTCTTTTCAAAATAGGTAATAATACAAACAGCATATTACCTACCTGTTCGATATCTAAATTCCTAAGGTTGCCTTGAAAAGATTGCTTTCAGTAATAAGGCCGCCTTATAGTAATTTTTTTTTTTATTTAAATAACTTTAATGTACGTCATACATAAGTAAAGAGTACATATGGCGGACTTAACACCTAATGGCATTGTCTACCAGTCAACCGTGAGTTGTGCAGAGATAAGTTGTTGCGGTGCAAATAATATTATAATATTTCATAGAATATACATGAACTTAAATAGGAATATTTATGTATATACATGTGTATATATTATACATATATATACAATTTTACATACATTCGTTAACATATTGTTCTGACAAATATTGTTCATGATTTTTCTTCACTGTATGTTTCAAATAAAGTATATTCTATACAAATATCTAATTTCCTATTCCATAGAGTAATAATCTGCCTAGGTAAATCTCATAAGATAAATCACCAACAAAAACCAAAATAATCTTTCATTTCAATATCATAGGATTTAGTACCATATTACTATGTGTTAGGACTTCTTTTCCTCGTACCTGTGTACAGGCGCTTACGTGTTACACAAGAAACGTGTATGAATAGTAAGTAATTTGTATTGCTGAATTGTAATTCAGATGTCTCGTATATTGTGAGTGAATCCAGGGAATTACACTACATTGATATATTTAAATTACCCCTTTTTAGAGTTTCGTTGTCAAATAAATAAAATTGTTGTGTTTTTTATTTATAAATATATGTGGGATTGTTTGACTGCCTCGGTGGTCTAGCGGTTTAATACACTGCTTTACTTACAATAGTCGGGAGTTCGATTCCTCGCACGATGCAAATATTTTTATTCATGAATGTAATTGTTTGCATCTGTCTGAGTGTTTCCTATTTATAATATAGTAAACACCTAGATGTATTTATAATATTACTAGCTCGTAGCTACCCACCCCGGCATCGCACGGGTGTATATGTATTATACATATGTATAAACCTGTCTCTAGAATCACTCTATCTATTAAAAAAACAATGAATATACAAAAATTTGCAATTTGGCAGAAGAGCAATATAATTCTGTATAATTATAGAATAATAATAATTTCCAACTGTCTATAGTATTATTTTAAAAAGGAACATTAATTTTTTTTAAATAGATATAATATAAATTATATAGACGAACTAGCTAGTCACCCCGGCTTCGCACGGGTATACATGTATTATATATATAAACCTTGCTCTTGAATCACGCTATATATTAAAAACCGATTCAAAGTCCGTTGCGTATTTTAAAGATTTAAGCTTACATAGGGAAGGTTAGACAGCGACAGCGACTTTATTTTATACTATGTATATATATATAGAGAGAGAGAAAACAAAATGGCAAAACAAAAGAAGTAAGCTAAAAATGGAATACACACCGTCCAATATACGTACTATATATGATTCCAGACTATTAGGTGTTAAATAAACGCTATTGTTAGTAAAAATAAAACTAAATTAATTTATGATTACATTATCAACTATTATTCGTCCACAATACTATTCACACAGCGCCACCTAGACCCAAGTTAAGCTAGCTAAAGCTTGTGTTATGGGTACTAAATAACTGATACGTATACATAGATATTTTTTTTTGTAATTACATACATATTATACATAGAAAACATCCAGAGCGATACAAACAATCATACTCATGAATACAAATGTTTGTGCCGTGCGAGGAATCGAACCCGTGACCATCGGTCGTAAAGCGGTGTGCTAGACCGCTAGACCACCGAGGTCGTCTTTAATTATTTTATTTGAATTAACTTAACATAATATGGTACATAATAATTGTCATATTTTCAACGAATAAAGAACTTAAACAAAATTTAGACGTAAACCATTCGCCTTTGTACCTTGTAATTCACTGGTTTATTTCACCCTCAAACCGAAACATCATCTTACAAAGCAAACTGCTTAGTGGCTAGAATAGGAGAGACAATGATCTCCACGCAGACATATATATTAAGTTTAGTGTCACTGAAGAAGTTATTCATCATATAAAATGTTTTAGTTTTAATCTAATATTTGTATATATGTAATTTATATAATCAATGTTAAGCCACGATCAAGTACTTTTTTATACATATATACTATATTGCACTTATTACATTAATAAACAATGTGAGCAAGGGCGGGCTTATCTCTCCAAGAGATCTCTTCCAGCCAACCTAACAGTGTTGTGATAGAGGTGGTAGTTAGCGGGCAACGATAGTGAAAGAAAGAAAGAAAGAAAGAAAAATATTTTATTCAGTGCAATGTAAAAAATACAATATAAACAACAAACGAAATAAAAAGAGCAAATAAAATGTACATATAATTAAACTTAATTTACCATAATTAAAAATAAACATAAAATAATCATTTTTTACATTAAAAAATGCACTGAAATGGCTCCTCAGCTTTAATGTATGTCCTAGGTGAACATACAGCTGGTTTTCAGTGGCACCAAATATATATATATATATAAAAGGGGGACAGAGAGAGGGCACAATTTAAAATATTAATGATAATAATTAAAACAAAATTCCAACTAATAAATATAAACATTAAACATATATATACAACTACTTTGCCGTAAGATTCATAGGTTAAATAGTACATAGATAGTACTTGACATTTTGTAAACATATTCTAATGTATACTAAAAAAAAGACATACACACACTTATTAAATATATAAATAATAATACAATAATAATAATAGTAATAAGATGCAGAAAGCGGTGCTGTTAGATTCTGCGCGCATTGTATGCCGGTTTCTCTCCCTGGGGCCCTGAACCCCGGCCGACTGTGCTTCTGCCGGGGGTAAGTTGCCAT